TGCTGGAGTGGCTGCAGCCCAGCCAGAAATCCCAAGCACGCACAATTCCTTGGGACTCATTTTAGAGCCAACTGTTCTCTGCTTTGGTTTAGCTTTGGTGGTTACTTTAAAAATGCTCTTCTACAACTAGCAGAGCACTAGCTGCATTACTTCTGCATTACCCCACAGCAGTCTGCAGCTAGCCCACAGAAAGTGTTTCGCAGCTCAACGAGACATGAAACCAGGCCCAGGCTGGGTAGGGCAAAGAGAGAGCCCTATAGCTCGTCACACTGCTTCTTGGGGAAGGGCTGAACCAAAATAGTCCACACAGCCCCCTTCTCCACTCATCGTTTGTGCCCCCTGCACAAAGATATCAAATCTTTTATGTGCACGCTTTTCGTTTTCTTTCTTTAATCTGCAGTGCAATGTGGGTTCTAATTTGAGGACACAATTTAGTGATGTTAATTATGTGACAGTATTTTGGTCTCTTCCATACCCAGTAGTAGGTTAATGACTGCTCCTTAAAGCATGGAGATTATATAACAAAGTCATTATATAAGGAAGGCTGATTGAATGCCGTTATGGGCCGAAGAACAAAAACAAACTACTCTTTCCCTCCCCCCACTAAAATCTGTTTCACTCTCTCTAATAAGCTTCAGAAACAAATTGTACCACCAAGGTGAAACTGAGCTCCAGAAAGGACAGGACTTTAAAGATGAAAGCGCTGTGTGTTAACATGGCCTAACAACCACTGAGCTGTGTGTTTTCACAGGATTCCTTCTCTTCTCCCCCATTTTTAAATATATTCAGGAGTGAAATTTTTGTAAGGAAATATCTATACTGGCGGGTCACTTATTTTTCCTGAGAGTCAGTGATGAGGTCAGGCTGATCCAGTGAGGTCAATGGAGTTGCCCCAGGGATGAGTTTGGTGCAGCGTATTCTGCTTTGGGTTTTATTATTATTTATTTAGAAACCAGCTTTTAAAAAACTGGTTGAAATGATACAACAGCAATGTTTTTTTCTCCAGGAGAAGAATGGAACCCTATGGCTCTAACTAACTTTCTTCTCACTCACACCTGTTCTATAGTGGTGTGACTGACTCCAGTTTTATCCCAGGGTAAGAGAGATCAGAATCTGTCTCTATATTTTTAGAATCCCTTACTGCTAATAATGTACTCTAATGCACCACAAAAATTAATGGGCTTAATGTGCAGCAATGGATATTTAGATTAGCCATTAGGAAAAACTTTCTAACTCGAGGGGTAGTTAAGTTCTGGAAGAGGCTTCCAAAGGAGGTTGTGGAATGCCCAGTTTTGGAGGGTTTTAAGACCCAGGTTAGACAAACATCTGTCAAGGATGGTCTAGGTGGCCCTGCCTCAGCACAGGGAGCTGGGCTTGATTTTTTGTGGTCCCTTCCAGCCCTACATTGCTATGATCCTTCCCCTGCCCACCTTAGAATCCCTGTTCCCTATATGTTAATACAGGCCCCTTCTTCACCCTGCAGCTGGAGACCCATAACTATGAGTAAAGTAACTTCGGAGACAAGGAAGAAAAGGATGCTGGGGCCCAGTGGAGAGCAATGATCAGCACTGCTACCATCCCTTGGTAAAAGAGGGTGGAGGGGCTGACAGACAAACCCCCTCCCAGAAAAGAATGAGGCTGTCACTCTCTGCGATGGAAAGCGACCAGCAGAGGGCGATAGTAAGACAGGAAAACGCCACACCGAGGCCTATTGGGGACTCGCTGCGGAGGCCAAGGGGAGATCAGGTGGAGTGGGTCAGGTGTTCGCGTCCCGCCCCCTCGGGCTCCTCCCACAGCCTTTGTAACATAGGCCATGGGCTCCTAAGGTCAGTTATGGGCACGGTGCCAGTGTCACTGGGATCCCCTAGCAGAGAGCCTCCCCTCTCAGCGCTGTGTGCGCGGCGTGGGAAAGCCCCTGAAAAAGCAAATGCCTTTGATACCCTCATTCCCGCTGTATGTGTGTGTTGCGGACGGGGCTCGGCTCACTTATAGCTGAGCCTCCCCCCACTAAATCAGCCTTTCGGGGGTGTCCTTCGCTCCAGTGACCGAGTCCCTCCCTGGCCAGCGCTGGGCACCGAGGGAGACGCGCAGGGGGGGAGCGAACGCGATTAAAAATCGGGGCCAAACCCCCTTCCTTGCGCGGTGATCCAAAATCGTGCAGTGTGTGTGTGTGTATGGGGGGAGATGATTGTGTGTGTGTGGTAGGGGGGTTGTGTGTGTATGAGGGGGGTGATTGTGTGTGTATGGAGGGGTGATTGTGTGTCTGTGGGGGGGGGAGATGAGTGAGTGTGTGTGTGTGGGGGGGAGATAAAGAGCAGGCAGCTATGCAGCGCGCCCTCCCTCCCCGAGCCATGCGCTGGATCGCAGCCGCCTCCTCAAGTAGGTAAATGCCTTTGATGGGCTGGGATGGCGCGTGTGCGTGTGAATAGGGCGGGGGGCGCAGAGAGAAACCCCCCCCCCCGCCTCCCTCCCTCCCTGCCACAACGCTCAGAAGCGCGGGGGCGGGAGGGAGCAGGCCCGGGGGAGCCCGCCCGGATCCTTTCTCCCCTGCGGGGAGGGGGACGATTCCTGCTGCCGGGTAGGGCTTTGTGCACGTAGCGAGTTGCAGGTATTCCGCGCTCCCGGCTGCATGGTGCGCATACCAATCCCAGCTGCAGTCACCCAAAAGAGAAGCGGGGCGGGCGGGGGCAGCGCAGCGAGCGGAGACTCCCCGGTCACGTTTGCTTTTGCCGGAGCAAGGGGCTCGGGCGGGCAGCGGCAGCTGATGGGGAAGGGCCTGGGGGGGGAGGGGGATCTGGTCCTTATAGCAATTGACCAGGGGGAGAAAAGCTCCAGCCCGACGCTCCCCCCGGCACAGGCTTGTCCCTCGGTCTGATTTCTCCTCTCTCTGCGGCCACGGCCAGAGCTTTGCACCAATTGGTTGGTGGGGTTTTTTGGAGGGGGATGGGGGAGGAAATGGGTGGGGGGTAGTTTGTATTTTTTTTTAAACCCGAGCCTTCCAAATATTGATTGATTTGGCCCCTTCTGTGGCTACCCCCCTCCCCTGTTTATTTTGTGGAGGTTGGATCCGTTTCCAGTTGCTGCATGCGGGGCTGGGTTTGGGGGTGGGGGGGTGCAGGGCTGGGGAAGCGGAGTGCACCTCCCTCCACTGACGGGGGGAGGGGGGGCAGAAGGGAATTTTTTTTTACCTGTCACATTTGTCCTAGAAAAAGACAGCGAGAGGGAGAGCGAGGCATTCCCGGCGCAAGGGGGACAGGAGGGGGGGTGTTGGGGATCAGGCGCCCCCCCACACGCCCCAGGATTGCAGCTTGGAGCGAGAAGGGGGCGTATGTGACCAAACCTGACCTCTGGGAATAACCGGGCAGCTTGTTTTTTTTTTTTTTTTTTTTTTGAGGGGTGGGGGTGGGGGGGAATAGACAAAACATTTGTCAATTTCCAGTTGATGTCCATGAATGCAAACACCATGATTTTCATGATCCTGGGGGCCTCTATCGTTATGGTAAGAGATTTTGCTTATCACTTTATTTCCTTCCTCCCATCACATTAGTGTGTGTATAGTTTAGTGTGTGTGTGTGTGTATGTGTGTGTTTGCGAGTGTCCGTCCCAATTTAAAAAAAAAATAAAAAAGCAGCATTTAATTTTTTGATGACTGCTCCACTCTTTAGCAACCAAACTAGAGTCAATGTTTTATTCCATCATCTAGAGTTGACCAGATGCCTTGGTTATGGGCTCTTACAGGCAATAGCTTGCTTGATGGACATGAATGCGCTGTTGGACCGGTTTCACAATTACATCTTACCGCATTTAAGAGGAGAAGATCGAGTTTGCCACTGCAACTGTGGAAGGTAAGTCACCCACATGATATTTCTTACTCTCCTCCCTCCCCCTACTCGTCTCATTGGAAAGGCACAGGCCAGGTTTAAGGAGCTCAGAGGGTGCAATCCCATCGCACTGAGCATCCTTCAAGCAGCATGCAATGGATCACTGACTCCTAGGGTTGCATTTTGCATTCTGAATGTGCCTTGTGTGTATATTCACAGCAACCATCTGCATGATCAGAATGAATTTTTGGAGCAAGAGTTTGCTCTGAGCCTAGCATCTCCTTTTTCTTGTGTGTGTGTGTCAGCCCATGACAAGTGAGTAACTTTTGCTTCAGCACTTGCCATGATTGTTCCATTGTCACCAGAGACCAGGGTACTTATGTGTGTGTTTGTGCAATTGGGGGGTGCTGTTTGTTCTGCTGTGGTTTCAAACAAATTACCTCTGACTGCTTGCGAGACTCTCTGCTGAGGAGGGAATGATGCTCTCGAGGACAGGGTCACTTTGGGATCTCCGCTGCTGGTGTGTTTTAATCTTTTACTTGCTTTGAATTCTTTGTGGCTTTTCTGTTTCCAAAGGTTATTTGGGTGCTTTCTGGGGCATAGTCAAATTGCTGGTTGCAGCTGTTGTGTATCTGTTAACAAATCAAGTACGTATGGTGGACTTTTCTTTAAGTAGCCTTTTTTCGATGTAAGATTATAACTGAACAAATAAATCCACTATTTATGATTGTGTAACAATGAGGTTAAGTCCCCCCACCCCACTAAAGAAAGAAACATTTCTTAAATTGTACATAGCCACTGCATAGCTAGACTTTCTGTAGCTAGCAAAAGGCTGCTCTGTAGACATGGAGATTGGGATGTCTAGATCTTTAGGGGTAATGGTTTTCTGCCCATGGGATCAAAAGAGTATGATCTGACGCCAGCCTGGTTTTCTGCCCATGGGATCAAAAGAGTATGATCTGACGCCAGCCAAAGGCCACGTCAAGGCAGCCCTCCACTGGCCTACATACTGATTTTAAGGTGTCCTTCACTCACCGCTTTGGGCTGCTGCTGTAATCCACCTGCAAGCCATTCTCGGGGACATCCCATGCCTTCATTGTCCTCGGGGAAGACTTTAGCCCTTGAATGGGGTGGGGGAGGGGGTTTAACCCAGGGAAATTTCTCTGTCCTTCCACCCTCTCCTTTCATGGCATTATTCTACCAAGGAGACCAGTGTTGCTCCACTCTTGTGGTCTCTCTTCAGTTCTAGCCCTTGTGGGGCCATCCTCTGTCTCCAAGGCAGCAAGAGACACTGGAGGGGCCCAGAGCAGGGCTGAATGCGCTCCACTCCCCATCTGAAAATACTTTCGTGCATGATGCCCCTGGCCACCCTTTGCCCGATGCGCAAAGCCTCAAGGGTTTTTGGTGAGGCAGTGCATGGGCCTGGGGCTGCCAGTTTGAGGGCTATCCGAAAAGCGGATGGCCCAATAGCCCAGTAATTGGGTTCAAAACATCTTGATTCCATGAAAGCTCAGGTGTGACCCCTGGTGGAGTGCCATGTAGCTTTCTGCGCTGGGGCAGATGGTCGTTCAGGGTGACCTTAACATTCCCTTAGCAGTCCTCCTAAGAGGAGGAGTGTGCCCAGTAGCTATGGCTAAAACATTTCCCTGCTCACCACAGCTGGTGGGTGAAATGAAATATAGCTTGTGACGTGCTTTGGGATCCTCTGGGATGAAAGAACAATGTAACATCTTCTTCTTTCCGGAGTGTCCCTGCTGCCCAAATCGGATGGATGCGCCTCTCCCCTGGAATTCTGCATGGCCCCAGCAACACTGTGTAAACAGACACACACATGCATCCAGTACCGCTCTTCCCAAACACAGACACTGGCTAATTTTTTAGAAAGAACCAAAAGCATCTTCCCAGCCTCCTAGCCCAGTCCTGGCCCCAGGAGAAAGGGGAGCAAAATTCTGGGGAAGGTCACCAATTTCCTGTCCTAAAAGAAGTAATAGCTGTTGTCAACACAAATCGCAGTAGGCGCACACCAGTCCTGTTTGTTACTGGGTTCTGGCTGTGTGTAATTGATGGAGTCCTTTGCATGTACACTCTGATTATCTGTATGTAGGAGAGACTTCAAAAGGGCATCCCTGAGCTGTGGGAGCCAATGTGAACTAGGGGACAGTGTAATGGACTGGAATCCTTCGCCTCCATGCTCTGCCGTTGATTCACCATGTGGCTTTGGCAAATTGCTTGGCTGCTCAGTGCTTTGGTTTCCCCCGCTGTAAAATGGGGCCAGGGTGAACCTGCCTTGTCAGATTCATCAGCTGATGAAGTGCTTTGAATGCATGTGGTCTGATCCGCAACTGGTGTCAATCAGAGAAGAGCCGTTGAAGTCAATGGAGCTGGGCTGATCTGCACCAGCTGGGGATCGGGCCCGAGCCGTGCAACGTGAGTGATACTAACGATTAATTAAAGGATTCTGCGTAGATGCTGTAGGATGAACCCAAAGGAATCCTGCGGCTAAGGGCGTACTCCCAGGAAAGTGAGTGACTGGCTAAGCAATGAGAAGGACAGGGGACAAGGATGAAATCTGAGTCAATAAGAGGCACGTGCTAAAGGGAAAAAGTGCTGAGATCAATTTTGAAGTTGTTGTTTTTTTTCTCACCGTCTCCCCAGCTCAGTCTATAGAGCTACAGTCTCACCAGCTAATGAATCCAGGATTGTTTTTCCCCTCTTCCCTTCGGGGAGTCTGGTTGTATTATTTTCACTGTGATAGGGAGCGGGCAAGAGCGCCTTCTCCGCAGGCCTGGCTCTGCAGGTGAAACTGTCTTTGGCTCTCAGCTCCCAGTTTGGAGGTAGCATTGCCTGGCCCCCTGGGCACACCCCAGAAACAGGAGGGGGCATCTTTCCCACAAGTAACAAGGATCTTTATTGAACTCGTGTCAGATAGGAGAGAATCAGGAGAGTCCCCTCCTCCATGAGGAGGTTGTTTGACAACGATGAATAATTGTTGAGCCGATGTGCACCCATGAGTGGTTCCCTCCCCCGGTGCTTCCAATCCCAGGAGAAAACAGGGCAGATGATTACACAATTATGGGCCTATCCCCAAAGTTTATCATCCTGAGAAACACGTCTCAGTACAGTGGGGTCCTGCCTGTGTGCGAAGATGATCTTGTGAAATCAAGTGGTTCCAGCAGCCCATGTCTAAACCACGCATGGCTAGTGCTGGCCAGCCCTGGTTCCTCATCGCCAGCTCTGGGAGCCAGTGTCCCGAGCGTAAGAAGGAAGCTGGCGAGACAGGATGACTGGGGGGCTGGTGAGTGGATATGGAACCTTCCGCCTCTAGGTTACTTAGCTCGGGTTCGGAGTGACTGGAAACGGTCGCCATCCGATGGCCTCTTTGTGGCCAGGTCGGTGCCTAGAGGGGAAGTAGCCTCACTTTGAAACCTGCCATCCCCACAGAAACTCTGCTGGCACCCTCAGCAGTGCCCAACGCTACAGTGACTGGGGGGGAGGGGGTCCTTAGAGAGAGGCCAAAGACTGAATGAGCCATGGAGACCAAGCTCCCCTCTGCTGCCTAGGGAGACTGGGGGCCCTGGGTGATGCAGTGTGTGTGGGAAGCAGCATGGTCAGCGCCATCCCTATTCTGGGGCAAAGTCGAGGGCTTACGGGCTGCACCATTAATATGTGAGAGCACCCGGCCCCTGGCACAAAAAGACACTGGTGGGCACGGTGGGAACTGTCAGCCTTTTGCCCATCTGTATTCTCCGCTCAGACCTCGCCCGTTGTGACCTGAGGGGTGTGTGTAGGGGGGGGTGAGAGCGAGGCGAGCACACGGTTAAAATGCCCCATGGTCTGTCTGTTCCCTTTTCTTCAAGCCTCCCTAGGCAGGAAGTTGCATGTGTTGGAAATGCGGCTGCACTTTCTGCCGTTAGCCAGTCTGGACGCTGCATTCACAAATCCCTAGGCAGGAAGTTGCGTGTGGTGGCATTTGCGGTCCTTAGTCTCTCTGTACTCTGTTCTCAAGCCCCCCGTGGCAGTAAGCTGTGAGCACAGACCCTGAATCCAGGCATCCGGGTTGGTGTCTGTCTCTGGTATAGCGGTGGCAAGAAGCCCCGTGAGCCGTTGCAGTGGGCACCCCCTGGCAGCGCAAGGCTCGTTAATGTCAATCATGCAAAGGTACAGAACTGGGAAGCATGTTCCACCTTGACTGCCTGGCTCTGCGGAGGGTGCCTCGGCTGTTACTTGGAATCTGTGGGGTTTGCTAAGTCCTCTGTAAACTCCGCCTCCATCCTCAACCCCCCAACTCCATCAAAGGTGGGACTGCAGGGGCTTTGTGTTCCAGAACGGCATCCCTTGAGGGCTGGGGGAGGAGGAAGATTTAGCTTTTATGTTAATGTTTTTCATCCTGTTTTGGTCACCTCTTCCCTGCTCCCTGAATGTGCGCGTACCTAGGCCCTTTTCATCCCCCCCTTCAAGACCCTTCCCCATCTCTGCTCATCCTGTCCCCCCTCGACCCCTCATTCTTGATGTTCCGCCTCATCCTCTCTTTCCCCCTGCCCCCTTTGGGCTGGATCTGTTAAATCCTCTGCCCACAGAACTGCCCCGGAGCTCTGTGCATGGCGTTTGCAACCCTCTCCTTCCATTGCCCACCCACGGCTCCGCGCCGCCTCTGAATGCTGCCCCGTATCACGAGGGCAGCCACTCGCTTCCCGTGTGCAGAGCCGCCTCCTCCGCCCCCCCCCGCTAAAAACCCCGCGTCAGTGAATCTTTGCTATGCTGCCCCCACCACAGCTGAGGTCTCTGCTCCTTGGGTCTCAGCTGCTGGCCTGCGCAGTGTCGGAGTGAGCTCACGCCTTTCTTGCATGGTCTCTTCGGCATCGTGTTGTTTATGGTGCTGTACGAATAATAGGGGCCGTGATGGTACCAGGGAATATCGGGCCGGGCATGTCAGGGAATTGGAGCCAGGTTCATCGAGTGCATGGCTCAGGGGTTACCCGCCATTTGCCTCTAACTTCCTACCGAGGTCAGGGTTCGAATGGTTG